ACATTTTTTACCAGTATGTGTGTTCCCTGGGAATCAAACCCACGATCTTTTGCGCTGCTAACGCAATGCTCTACCACTGAGCCAAAAAGTATACACTTTTTAAATATCCATGTAGGATTTACCTCATTAATGTGAATTAGGAATCTATTAGACTCTGCTTCTGGGTCAATAACTCCACCCTTTTCCTTCTGCTGTTCCAGAATCTTCTGGAGTGCTGCCCATTTCTTTTTAAATTCCCCACCGATGACTGCATCCTCCTGCTGTGTGTGAAGGAATAATAAACACAATGTGCATGTGTATCCACAGCATGTGACCAGTGAACATACATGAGGGTGTTGAGCTTTCCAACTAGACATCCTGGCATAGTCAGCTAACAAGAGAGACTGCACACGGGACAATGACGCACTGTTTTAAAAAAAATCTACTGCTTGGCACTGAACACAAGGGTGACATTGTCCATTTGACATTTCAAACAATGATAAACGTCAGGCCAGTTTAGTTTGACCCAACTGCTAACACCGTGTCCACAAAGAATGATAGTGTGTCCGAATGTCTTACCTGTGTGAAAACTGGAGCAGGAGAGGAAAGGAGGGCATCCAAATCATAGGTGAGAGGCTCTCGACACACTGGGCAAACAACAGCCAAGTCCTGTTAATGAAACAAAAAACACCTAATATATCAAAAACCACTTCCTTTTATTCAAGCACACCTCACTGCCTTTTTATGGACTGCAATTAGTTATGCATTCACAGTAACACTGAAGTAAATGATTTAGTAATAACAATGTATTACACAAAATTGTTGACTGGAATTGATTTAATACCAAATGAGTAGCATTTTGCTTGAAGTAAGGAAAACATATGAAAGTATACAAAAAACGAAGCCCCACCTCTTCTTCTGTCCTGTCTCTGGTTTTATCCTCCTCCAGCTCCCTCTCACGGTCCTTCAGCTCCATCTCAGAGTGGGTGATGTAGCGGCCAAGACAGTGAGAATGGAAATAGTGATAGCAGCTGGTCTTAGTAAACACTTCCCCCTCCTATGGTTAGGACAAAACAGAGGAAGAGGAACAAGCACAAGAATATTAAAATTTTTTACAAACAGGCCACAGACCAGACTAAGTTCATATTCCAATTAAAATAACAAACCTTAAAGCCATACAGACAGATGACACAGTTTCCATGGGGAATATTGCTCTCAGTCAGGATCTCTTTGGCTCTCTGTGAGGATGATATAGAGAAATGGTTTGAGACAAACACATGTTAGTAGGCACATACACTACCGTTCAATAGTTTCTGGTTGATAAGATTTCGTTTTAAGATGTTTTTCAATAAAGTTTCTAATGCTCACCAAGGCTGCATTCATCATAAATGGCAGTAAATCAGTAATATTGTGAAATATTATTAATTTAAAATAACAGTTTTCTAATGTAATATATTTTAAAATGTAATTTATTCCTGTGATGGCAATGTTGAATTTTAAACAGCCATTACTTTTAACATGCTTATTTGCTGCTCAAGAAACATGTCTTACTATTATCAATGTTGAAAACAGGTTTGCTGCTTAATGTTTTTGTGGAAACCATGATATATATTTTTTCAAGATTCTTTGATGAATAGAAAGTTCAAAAGAACAGCATTTATTTGAAATAGACACCTTTTGTAACATTATACATTAAATTGCATCCTTGCTGAATAAAAGTAATAATTTCTTTAAAAAAAAAAAACATTGTCGGCAAACCTCTGAGCAGTAGTGTATTTTTGGACTAAATAAGGACTCCAAACCTCTATGAGCTGGTACAGTACAGGTGTCCCAATACATGACTCTGCCTCTATCTGCAAACTCCTCTGTAAACTGAGAAAAAAGAAGCATGTGAAAACAATGAAAAAAAGTTTAAATCTAAACAGGACATTCTACATTTTTAAAATAATTTCTAATAATAATCAAACACCTGAGCAGTTTATCATCTGAGAGTCCACGTGGATTGTGAATAGAGATGCAAGGAGATGAATATGGGTACTGGAAGTGAATATAAAACACTCTCAGAAGACCAGCAGTGAAACAAAGTTGCAAGTAAAGAAGTGGTATGTACCATAGTCAAATATTATAGCAATTTGATCAACAAACCTGAGAGTCCAGATCCACTGTCAATGTAAGACGGACAAACTGAGAGAGGCAGTCCTCCGCAGTGGAGGGATAGAGCACCAGACTGACTGTCCATCCTCTAATCGAGACAGATTTGACAGATTTATTTTTGTACAGGTTAATTATACTGAATTATTATCTCAAGCAATTTATGAAAAACTAAAAGGGCAATAAAAGCTCAAATATTTACCCCTCATCTCTCTGATTAACACTGAGCTCATCCAAGTAGATGGACTGCAGAACTTCAATTTCAGACAGGACACTGCGGTGTCAAAAAAGATGCGAGTTGAATTTCGTGTAGAACTAGTTTAATGTAACATTAACATGAGTATGGCACATGAAATGACCAGACACAAAGGGCCAAAGACACGTTTAATAAAACAATTGCAGTAACGTCCTTGGCCGTTTGTTTACTTGGATACTGGCAATCTAACGCCTATGACTACCGGTTAATTCAGAGCAACTTAACTATGGATTCCTTTACGTCAGCCTCGGACCAAATGATTTTTCCAGTTGTGTTATAAGTATGTATTATTTATTCTATTTATAGTCACCTATGACAGCTCTCCCATTTCGTAACCAATTTTGCTCTATAATTCAAATAACTTACGTTAAGTATTACAAATGAAATATTTTCAGTTCATATACCAAACTACTATTGATTTATATAGGAATTCATAATAATTACACGTTTCTGACTGTATTTACCAGCAGCCCATTACTCACTCGCTCTCGGCAGCCATGTTCGCTGTGACGTCACCATCAGGGTTGCCAGGTTTTCACAACAAAACCCGCCCAATTGCTACTCAAAACTAGCCCAATCACGTTTCGAGGGGTAACCCCGGTAAAATCGCATTCCGGTGGGGTAAAATACACGTTTTTGGTGGGGTAAAATGCACATTTTACCATTCCACGACATCGGTCAGCTGACACACAGACAGATCTGACTGACAAACAGATATGAATTTCAGGGATTCAAGATTTGAGTCTTAAAAAGGGGTCATATGATGCGATTTCAAGTTTTCCTTTCTCTTTGGAGTGTTACAAGCTGATTGTGCATAGATAAGATCCCTGAAGTTGGGACTTTGTAGAAAACTAAAGCGTTTGAGAGAGGCGGGGCATATAGGACATACAATAATGTACAGTATTTGAAAAATAATGTGTTTTTTGAACATTAAAGCATGTCAACATATTCTGTTACACCAAATACACAAAATAATGATCTTTAAAAAAGCATCATATGACCCCTTTAAACAAAACTGACTCAGTGGTCAAATTAAATAATTTAAAGAAACTTTCACTATTTTAGGAACAATTCTCGTTGAAAAACACGTGTATTTTAGCAGTTGTATTGCAAGAGGACAGCGCGCATTCAGTCAAGTAAATCCAGCAGTAGTCACTCACAGACACGCCTCTTTCACAACTGCAAGATGTTAGAAATGAACACTTGCGGCGTTTTCGATTTTTAAAATCATATTTTATTGCTAATTTATTATTTGCATACATTAATGACATATATCAAGTCAATTTTAATCCAACAAGAAACATCTCTCACTAAATCACAGTGGAACACATAAGACAGTTTGTGTATAGTGTCTTTCCTGGACCAGGCTTTTGATGCCAGTGTAAATCCATGCCAGTCAATAACCCTTTTGTAAAAAAAAAAAACCTTACATTGATAAACATCTGTGTAAACAAACGCTGATGTTCGCAACATAATAGCAAGTTATTTTTATTCCTCTTGGTTTTTTCTAAGCCAGTGTTATCATGAAAAAGTCACATTTCTGAGCTGAAAACTTGACCCAAAGGAACAAAGTTGCAAAGGTGTTTGACTTGTCCCTCTTTCCGTCTGTTCGAACACCTCTGCTCTAACAGCATTTCTTCCCTTTCTTCCTCCTTTCTCTGTCCCTGTGGGAATTTATATGGACCATGTCCTTTTCTCTCTCCCTCTCTCTTTCTGCTCGACTCTGGCTCTGTTTCTTGGCCCGAAGGACCATGTGGGTGAAAGCCATGAACATCTGCAAACAGAACAGAATACAAGCCATAAAATTATACATGTTACTTTTAACACATCAGAGTGGACAGACAAAAAAAATTTTCTGAATAAGTTGAAAGATACATAGTCTATTATTCCATTCAAGCCAACATCAAAATAAAATATTTATGATTATTAATGAATTTGAGCAGAAATTAACAAACTTAAATATTGAGGATCTCTAAATTGATGTGGGTTTAAAAGAACAAGCTTAAATACTGAGGAATTTTAAATTAATTTGGGCTTAAATAGACTTAAATATTGAGGATTTTTGAATGAATTTGGGCTTAAAAGAAGAAACTTAATGAGGATTTTTAAAATTAATTTAGGCTTAAATTAACAATTAATGAATTTGAGTTTAAATTAACTAAAATAAATTGGTTTGAGATCCAAGTTGTTTTGTCTCCAAATCTTGATTTCCTAGATATATAGATGGCATCTCAGTCACAACAATTCCATTTTGCCTGTTTAACCGATGCATACATTAAATTGCAAATTCTCTGAATACATATCCCAGCAAAAAACAAAAACACCTCACCTCCTCTACATTGATATTCTCTTTAGCACTTGTCTCAAACAACCTCACACCAACTGACTCTCCAAACCGCAGAGCATCTTGAGTGTCCACAAGCTTTTTAGAAGGATCATCATTCTTGTTTCCGACTGTTAGGAATCAAAGTGGAAAGGAATATTAAATGTTCACCTTTGATACTACAACAAACTCAGGATATACAACCAAAACAAATTATACATGTTACTTTTAACACATCAGAGTGGACAGACAGACAAAAAAAAATTTCTGAATAAGTTGAAAGATACATAGTCTATTATTCCATTCAAGCCAACATCAAAATAAAATATTTATGATTATTAATGAATTTGAGCAGAAATTAACAAACTTAAATATTGAGGATCTCTAAATTGATGTGGGTTTAAAAGAACAAGCTTAAATACTGAGGAATTTTAAATTAATTTGGGCTTAAATAGACTTAAATATTGAGGATTTTTGAATGAATTTGGGCTTAAAAGAAGAAACTTAATGAGGATTTTTAAAATTAATTTAGGCTTAAATTAACAATTAATGAATTTGAGTTTAAATTAACTAAAATAAATTGGTTTGAGATCCAAGTTGTTTTGTCTCCAAATCTTGATTTCCTAGATATATAGATGGCATCTCAGTCACAACAATTCCATTTTGCCTGTTTAACCGATGCATACATTAAATTGCAAATTCTCTGAATACATATCCCAGCAAAAAACAAAAACACCTCACCTCCTCTACATTGATATTCTCTTTAGCACTTGTCTCAAACAACCTCACACCAACTGACTCTCCAAACCGCAGAGCATCTTGAGTGTCCACAAGCTTTTTAGAAGGATCATCATTCTTGTTTCCGACTGTTAGGAATCAAAGTGGAAAGGAATATTAAATGTTCACCTTTGATACTACAACAAACTCAGGATATACAACCAAAACATCTCTTTTCATATCACAATGCAACTTAATTAAATTGAAAAAAAAAAACAACAACAAAAAACAAACTAACCTAAAATTTTGCAGACGTTGTCACAGTTCTGTGATATCTCGTTTAGCCATCTTTTCACGTTGACAAATGATTCAGGGTTTGTGACATCGTAAACAATGATGACACCATGAGTGTTTCTGTAATACCTAGAGAAGTACAGCAAACACGTGAGGGAAGACTGACAGAGATCACAAGAACGGTCAAACAAAATCTTTAATAAACAGTTCGACTGGAGCGAGGCTTACGTAGAGGTGATGGTTCTGAACCTTTCCTGCCCTGCAGTGTCCCAGATCTGGAGTTTAACTCTTTCTCCATCAATCTCTACTGTGCGGATCTTGAAGTCAACTCCAATAGTAGTTATGTAACTGCCTGTGAAGAGTGCAGAAGCATGTTTTTATAACTAGTTATAACATTTGAACTTCTTTAATGCTTTTAAGCAAACGAACACTCTCATTTAGTCTTGCTTTGCTCTGTCTTGGACTGGAGAACACAGTGAATTAGAGCATATATTTACAGACCCTTTGCCTTAAGTCTTTCTCACACAAACAAACACACACTTTGTCTCACCAGAAAATGAGCTGTCTGCGAATCGTAGGAGCAAGCTGCTTTTCCCAACATCTGCAACAGAGTCAGAGCAGCATTTGTTAAATGTTCAGTACATATATGTTTTTATTAATTAAACATGATAGTATTTATTTTATAAAACAAGATTATAATAATAATTAGATATTATTTATATTAACGGTTAACCTTGAATACATAAAAATAGAATGTGAACTTTAAATAAAATGTAAAAACATCCCTACAATAAATAAAAATAAGTGCAACAGCATAGTGTATGTAATATAATAGCTCTAGGAAATATCTCATATAGTCCATCTATACCATGCAACTTAATCTTAACATGTTCTTTTGTCACAAATGCCACAATACTCAGAGGTCTAAGGTTCAAAAACAACCAGAATCCTACCCAAAGCCCACAGTCTTTACAGAGACAAATGCTACTAGCTGAACCGTTATAGAGTGGCCACAATGGACTAAATGAGGCAGCTGTGGTTAACTTAATACCACAGTTAAATTACAAACATGATGAACTGTGAGATAGCATCACTGATATTTGCTTACAAACAAAGGGTTCTATAATATGAAATTGGGATGTATAAATAAGATTGTTAAAGGCATGAAATTGGAAATTCACCCTATTTGTTTTTTTAAAATGCATGTTATTGATCTTACTATGAACAATTCATCCATTTATGTGTTTAATTTTTTTCTGTTTTTGACTTTGTAATGTTTAATCAAAATGTCATAACTGGATCTTCCAGTGAAATTACAAAATTCTCCAATCATTCTAGGAAAAACTAGTTTCACAGACAAAAACATTGACCCAACATTCATCACGGTACGCATCCCACCCAAGTGCATACTGGTGAACTGATCAAGTGACTCAGTTCATTGAAGGGATGAGGACTGACATTACACACTTACACAAAGTAGTTTCATTTCAGCTTTCCAGTTTGCGGTTAAATTGTGAAACTGCACAACAATGTTTCAGTAAATGCACCAACATCTTGAGCATTCTTAGTGGACAGGGTGCTAGAGAAATAATTAGGCTTAATCCCTTATTTTATGCCATATATTAATGATTCTCTTATGGGGACTTATTAAGTAAAAAAAAAAAAAAACTACATAGCTGAATCAGTAAGAAGACATAATTTGATAGCATATGTATTAAAAACAGAAAAATACTGACTGGAGTCACCAATGATGAGCAACTTGAAGAGATGATGGTAGTCTTTTCCCGCCATTCCTCTGTTCAAAATGTGTCCTCATGAAACAAGTTTAACAGCTTTCAAGTTCTCTGTCAATTTTCCTGTGTCTTAAAGTAACTGGTCGTTTAGTGCGGAGGGTTTTGTGTGAAATACTGTGAGCATCATGTGATCGTCTTTCCAGTTTTCCTCAAAATTCAAGCACAAAATGATGCATCAGTTCGATTTCAGTGCATTCCAATTCATGAATCAGTGATTCTGCATTGTCTGGAACACGTTTGCACTCTCAGTGCAATATTCTTAGCTCATCTTAAACACTTTAAATTTCCAGTGATATTTCCATTGCTTTTGTCCCCATTAGGGATCTACAGTTAAAATCTACATAGAATTTACTCTTCGTCGCCTCGCCCTCAAGTGCAAACACATTAC